TTGGTGACAGGCTGATCGAAGGTAGAAGGGTTGTCAAGTTTAACGAAATACCTGATATCCCCTCGGAGACGGGCGACGAATTCCTCGAGCACCCTATCCTTCTGTGTCAGGGGGTCCTGACCAGCTGTCGCAGCTCTAACCAAATTAAGTACCCTGTTGGCAAAGGACGAAGACGACTCACCGGGTTCCTGACGACAGGAGGACAACTTCTGTCTAGCTACGTACCTCTGCTGAGGGCTCTCGAAGAAAGCTCTGAGATGACCTCTTGACCAGGTCGAAGTTCTTCCGGGCATCGTCGTCGAGTTCCTCCACCTTTTCCCGAGCGACTCCGTTGAGATAGCCAATCGAGAAATTAGCTTTCTGCTCGCTGGAGAGACAGGGCGCATCCTAATGACGTCTTCCAGTCTACGAAGCCATATGGAGAACTGAGGGCCTTCTTCCGTAGTACCTGAAAAGGGTATCACCCTGGGGGCTTGCGAGTCAGAACCAAGCAGACTGTCGGAAGAGAATCAAGACGGCTGCCAACCGCTGAAAAGGACTCATTCAACTTACGAGACAATGAAGTGTTACCTTCATTAATTTCTGTGCCAGGGCTGACGTCTGAGACCGGGCATCTCTCCACACCTGAGTAATAGCTATCGAAGCAGCATCCCGTAGGGCCTTAGCATCCCGTGCGTGAACAATCTCAGCATCCTCCATCCTGGAAAGGGAGTCATCCAAGGGCGCAGTGAGAGCGCCAGGTAAAGGCGGTAAAGGCTCTATAGAAGGAGCAGCAGCTCCGATTACCGCATAATCCTCCGTGGCCACACGTTCTGGGCTAGGAGCAGCAGCTCCAGTCGACGGGGGAGAAAGGACTCCGGATGTCGCACCACTTCGAGTGGTCGGCATAGCGAACGACGTAGACGTTGATACTGACGAACAGTAACAGACGGGTGAGGCAAGGACTACAGGGCCCCCTTATATAGCGAGGGAAGGGGCGTGTCCGTACAGTAACCCGAGGGCAGAGGTCAGACCAGAGGATGAAACTGTTCGCGAAGGTCAAGGCAGTACTGTAGGAATGTGGTATGTGGTCGATCCCTGCCGATCGGATGGGAACGGGTGGAATAACGGAAAACATCCTGAAGGTTAACGCTTACCCGATGCGAAAAACAACAACGGAATGGAGAATACAGGCGTGAGCTTCAGAAATGTTGTGAGAGCGGCGGGGGGGGGGCGCTTTTAGAAATGGTATGAGAGCCGCGGGGAGCTCTTTTAGAAATGTTATGGGAGCGACGGGGGAGCATACTGTGGCTCGGATGCCTGACGAGCCGCTGATGACTCGTCGAGACCGGAGGTCAGCGAAAATTAATGAGCTGTCAGGAAGTCTATCGCCCTGGCTCTAGGTGAACGGGGCGAAGCGGCTTCGACAACCCGGGTTTCCGCTCCCTGCACGATCGCGTGCTAGACGTGCAAGTTGGTCGTGCTCGTCCCTCGAACGTTACATCGAACCAAACTCGGAACAAACGCGAAACCTGTAGAGGTTCGCGTCATGCGGCAACTCGCTACAGGCGTGCGCCGAAGGTGCGGCGGGCGTCCTTACTGGGACAGCACAGGCGGAAATCAACTCAGCGGCAGCCATCGATCAAAGTCGATTGAAGTAGTACAGCTAACCCAAGAGTGACGAATAACGTGCTTGAATGCAGAGGAGCAGGAAAAGCAACGGAAAGTGAAAAGAAAGTAATGGTCACTAAAGCAGGATTCTATACTAGCGAGTCATTCACCCTCTTCTCAAAACGGCAAATGCCTGGGGTACCCCTCTTTGTTAACCAGGCGCAGAATTTGATTTATCTCAGGGTCACTCAGTTTCTTACTCGTCGAACCTCATTTCCAAATTCACCGTATGACTCTTCAGCGAAATGAAGATAATTCCTTCAATAAACTGAACGACGTGCACGTCCTCATAACCAACTTCACTTCAATCATATACTCTCGTTAAAGACCCATCAGGCCCCGGGGCATGTTCAAATTCAAAAGTTCTCATGCGTTGGACGCTACAGTAACTGTTTTTGAAATTTTCAACAAAAGCTGCCCTTCTGGTCGGGAAAACAGAGCATGAATTCTGACCGTCTCATGTGAAGACTAGCGTAATGCACAAAAGGTAACCAAAGAAAGAGAAATTTCATGGGAAAGACGAAGTGAGCGGAGTCATCCTACATTCGAATATCGTACGCCGAATTCAGACAAGGTATTCCCAGCCCATTTCAATGTAAAAGCAGAAAAAAATACAAGCGGACAAATTCGAAGCATAATTACTACCAAGCAAGCAAGCAAAAGCGTGAAGAAAACTGCCGGATCGAATGTTCGATGTCCCCCGTAATGGATTATCCCAAGCAAAATGAGGTGATCAGGCTCATTTTCTCGAGAAGGCCCAACAGGGCCGGAAAAGGGGACTCACCTGCTCCTCGGTCGAGACTCGCTGCTACCAGTAATAGGTGCGAGCTTACCGCTCGCGAATCCCCGAGTGTTGCCTTCAATACAGTCTACTAGCGTATCATGTTTATTAGAATATTAAGGCGATCAAGGTGGAATAGGGATTCGGCGTAGTTGATGTAGTTGACGACGGACCCATTGGTCGGCAGCGTGACAGGGAGTCGGCGAGCCCAGAGGCGACGCGAGGGCAGGCAGAAGCGGTCGTCGGTTGGCATCCAGCAGATCTCTCTCGTCGACGTCCAGCGCGAACCTTAAGTATTGTCGGTGAGATGAGTCATGCATATCGTACTCTGACCTTCTCCTCTCTCTCTCCTCTCACGCTAGCTTCACGCAAACCGTCGGCAACCAGAAGGAGACCCGAAGTGAGAAGGGTGCCGTATAAAGGTAGGAGGGTTCTCCCTATGGTTAGCGACTCGTTCGCTCACACTCTCTTACAATAGGTAGGCTGAAAGAGCGTGAACAGAGATCTCGTGGATCCTTGAAAAGGCACGGAGACGAAAGATGGCGGACATCATGCTCATTTTATGAACCATGAGATCTAACTGACACAAATGTAAAGATAACAGCAGAGAACACCTCTGGAAACATACCACTGACCTTGCTTCACAACCCCCATCCGGTGTGAAGACTAGGTCATGCAAACAATTGCTTAAAGGGTGCTGTAATAAAACTGCTAGTTATCCCGCATTCTCTTCCACTTCTAGGAGCTCGGGCCACAGCTTATAACGACGTCCTGTTCGCTACAGAGGTTGAGGCGTGTTAGAGAAGGTAATCACAACTTCATGTCATTTGCGGGATGAGACTGGCATGACGCTAACTTTTAAGTGGTCGTATACCGCATGTTATGGTGCACGATTCTTCTCATAGCCTATCACGTGAGGAGGATGAAGCAGGGATCTATTATTGAGTTTAACTCAAATTTCACTAATTAGAATCGTTATTGTGTGCTGCTTGTTTGTGTTTGTTCAACCTGCCATCCATGGCTGCCTTCGCTGTGATTGTAGGACGTCAAAGAAGAGATGAAGGTATTAGTAGGGAGCACCAGATTAGGGATCTCTAGTGGACTGGTCTGATTTGCGCATAAATCTTTTCTGTCCGTGTGTCATACATTCACAACACGGTACTAAATAGGATGGAGGAGAAACATGAAAACACTGAGAATGGTAAACAGCTGAAGGGAGGAGAAACAAATGAGGCGCTCGCGGTAGGTAGGGTGTGGGGGAAGTAGGGTTAGAGGTCCGAAGATAGACGAAGGAAACCTAACAGCAAAGAGTGGGGCGTATTCTGAATGAGCGTACTCCCTACAGAAATCATCACAAGGTTTTAGAAAGCCCAGGCTGGAAAGAGTGAGTACTGGGGGATTCGGAAAGGGCCGATGTTTTTTTTGATGAAGATAAGAAACCACGGGAGCGCATGTCCTGGCAACACTCAGACGATCTGCCACATTCGCTTTAAGTTATAGCTGAAAGCACTTTCGTTTTGATATACTTGAGGTCATGTCTCTGTCCAACACAGAACAAGATGACAGGTCTCAGACTGAAATATCCCACGAGTAACCATTCTGTGCCATGTTCAAATGCCACGCCTACTCCGTCTCAGGGATAAGGAGTGTACGTCTCGCGACAAAAATATTGGGTAGTATGGCTCAAATAACAAGAACAAGGAGGAAATCAGCTCAACAAGAGGAGTCCGAAAATGTCCTAGCCAGGGTCACGTGTCGATCCGTCTTGTACTAGCATAATGCGAAGAGAGGAGTGCCTGGACGAGCTCTCACTCGTTGGTATCATAACGATATCAGTATTTTTCCCTTACCACCCCACTCTCACCATTCGGAATAGAAGGGTTCGCAGCGGAACAACCTCAAGGTCACTAGGACATACCAAGCCAAAAAACAGCTGATCGCCGCCGCAGCTGTCAACGGGAAGGTGGCGGATATGCGGCGCGTGTTGAGCGCGCACTGAATAATGGGACGCATGCTAGCTGTCTCGCGCCGCTTTGTCACACGTGACGCGGTCGTTGCTGCACCCGCGCCTGTGGTCGTTCAACCGCCCTAATCAAGTGCCGGGTCTGTACAGATGAACAAAGGGTGTGATGTGGGTTTATTGGCGCGGCATTGCACTTGTCGCTGTCAGCTAGCATTGTTATCATGTATATGAACGCCGGAGAAGCTACGAAGGTACCGAACACCATGGTTAGGGGAGGGGGTGGGGTCGAAGAACGTCTCCGTTTTTCTCGCCACTCAGAATGTGCGCCAATGACGTCGTTCCCTAGCTCCTCCCACATGGCACTCCCCAGCATGTTTTTGAATGAAAGCACTTTCAGGGTTTGCAAGAGCCGCGCTTCCTGCAACCGTCGGCAACCAAATGCTAGGGAACCATGGTCAGGAAAAGAATTCCGGGAAAGGGTAACTATTCGTGCAGTAGGAGCGGCAACACATTGAATTGATGATAATGGAAACGTTGTAGTAAGCTTAAAATGTGCTGAAATGAGATTAATAGGCTCCCTGCAGAAGTGATTGGGCCCCGTCACAGTTTTCCAAGAGGAGATTCCTAATGAATGCCCGTAGCAACATTTCGTCCATTGTTATAAAGACGTAGAGCTCCAAAATTCCAATGTGTTCTATTCTTCTGTTAAAGGAATCTAACAGGCTGATCTGGCCTTCTGCATAACAAACACCGATCTGCGGGTTTTGAGGCCTTGAGTTCAAATATGCCTTCCGCATTGCGATCCGCTGAATGAAGGTGTGAAAGTTTCTCCACGTTTTTTTTGTTTACGTGACATCTTGAACTTTTGTGCATGGTCCTGTTACGAAACCCTGTGACGCAGACGGATAGAGGGCAGCGCTGCCAAAGCATCGAAACGTGCAAAAAACGTATGGCGAGCCAGGAAACGGGATTTTCAAGGGGAGGGGACTCCGGGGTGGGTGAGCTACTTATAGTCGGTGAAAAGCTGGAGTGAGCGAAGTCACAACGGCCATAGAGTGCCATGCGGACGAGAGTGCAGAGAAAAAAAGAGAAGATATACGCGTTCAAATGGAGTGAATTCAAGTTGTCCGTAGACCCTTTTTTGCAGAGGCGCGTAGGGGCCGGAACGAATTAGGCCAGTGAATTTTGATATCAATTTTATTTCAGACTTTAATTTTAGATTCCAATAATTCAGTGTGTTATATTGTGCCTCACGAGGTTTTTGGATGGAACTACTCATTTAACGGCTGGAGAATATTTAATTTCAGATATTCAAATTGTATTTACGGTGGGAATGAAAACTACAACTCCTTTTCTGTGAAAGCATCTATCCCTTGATGTAATTAGATGCGGTGGGCATAGCAACATCATAAAAACCAGACGTTGCTCGATCGTTGAACGGTGTTCAGTTTGATACAATTGTCCATGCTCACTAGGGAAGATCCCGGAAAACAC